TGTTCACTTTTGTATTTAGAGCATGAGTTCTGCCCTTCCAGGAAAGTATAACCCATTATTCTGTATTAAAACAAATTTCCTGTTTCACAGCAGGCTTTTCACACTGCCTGGTGTGGCCAGGCGTAACAGCTCTAAACACTATTCTGCTTGATCATTTTGCCTCAAAGACTTTGTAGTTATAGATCTTATGCAGTGTGAAAGAGAGTGGAAAACAAATGATTCAAGAGGAAGATAAAGAAGGAAGAAATATATAGTTGTGAATAGACAATAAAACAAAATACTGCTCAAGCTAAGTTTCATGGCTTTCTGTTCAATTGCTGGTATTGCATCTTGCTTTGAAACAGCAGCTTACCCCTATAGCTGCTATGAACATTGCATTTAATTGAGGTGTAGGGTCAGGGAGTGTTTGGGCCTGCGTCTTGTTTAAGCGAGTGAGTGTGCGCACATCTGTTGTATGAATGAGAGGGGTTGGAAATGTCTGGTTTGTCTAACTCCTTTTCAACTCCAAATGTTTAGTTTGTGAATCCTGTTTATTGCTTTTTTGTCTTTTGGACATACATTGGGGAAAAAAGAACAACATAATAACTGTGGAGAATAATTTTAATTAGTTTAATTTCTCAAGTAAAAGCAAGCTTTCTTTATTTCTAATATTTCCCCATCTGATCCCCCTCCTAACATCAAACAGGAAGCTTCTGAACTGTACAGACCTAGTTGAGTCATGTTACAGACTGTAAAACATCAAACTGTTACTGTGGCGTGGTTCTGTCATCGATCCATAATTGGGCCAGCTGTAAATGAATCTGTATCCCCTGTATTTATCTTATTAACAAGGCTTTTTCTTTTGTACTAAATCACTCCTACAACACACTGAGCATCAAGCATAAACTCCCAAATGTGTTTAAATCTGACCACTTTGCAAGCGTCACTGAGAAATACAAAGAGATACCATTTTATCCCCAAAATCCTTTACATTCTCACAATCCATCACCTACGGCTACATCTGGTCGCGTCTGTTTTGTCTCTAAACGCCACCGCGCACAAGCTGACCTCCATGTTAGCACAGCGTAGGACAGGAATGAATCATAGTAATGCTTATTAGAGGGGCTGTATATTCATCAGACTATAAGAGGCTTGGTCTCGGGGGTATTGTGAATGACTCACGGGGGTCCGGAACAGCTGAGCGCTTTTGCACAGGGAAGCAGTTTTGCAGCACGCAAACTACAGGGGATTGTTGTGGCTGTTGCAGAGTTTAGGGGCTGATTGGCTAAAATTGCATAAAGGAGAAGTTTCGGACAGTTTTTTATATTCTCCTTTCAAGACCAACTGTATAATTATATTCTTGTCTGTTCATCTATTGCAGAACAGTAGTAAGTAGGTAATCTTTTTCTATACAGCCCATATTTACAGACCGAGGCCAACCGAGGTTAGATTGTGCGTTGTGGGGGCGGTGGTGGTGGGATGGATCCCAAATGTATAAGCTACAAGCCCCTGGGAGTTCTATTCTCTATGTGAGATAAATAAAGCACATCTTATCTTATCTTCTCACAGTGTAGCACATGAACTGTTTAGTGACTGAGTGAAATTGTGAACATTACATTCATACCTGTCGTGCATATTTTTGTTAGTGGTAGGGTAAACCTGAGCACCCGTAAGAACCTACTCAGACACGGGAAGAACATGCAAACTTCACTCAGAAAGGCCCTGTTTCAACCAGGTTTCGTACCCAGGACCTTCTTACTGAGAAGCGAGAGTGCTATCCACCGTGCCCCCAACACTTTTCAAATGTAGTCATCAGGGCCAAGTATTCATTGTTCTCGGATTGGAATAAAAACTTGTGGATGTGAAATCTCAGTCCAGCTGTCTGCTTTTGAAACCTTTTTCTGTCCGGCATCACTGAATAAAGGATTTCACCGCTTTGTCTGTATTGCATCTATGTTATGCTGATACAAACATCTCAAACAATTAAATGTGTGAAAAGCGTTTGTGTGGGTGTAAACTGCTGATTCTAATTTTGCGTCGTGGGATAGAAAAGGATTTTCAAAGCTCACCTGTGAAGAGAGAATCATTAAGTGATAAAAAATGTGTTCCTGTTTACGTGTTTAGTGGTTAGAAGTCATATTATAACTTCATCTAATCAAGACACACACAATTTTTCAACAGAAATAACAACTAGAGTAATTATTGTTTCAGCCATAACAGTGGCAAAGTATAAACATGAAATGAAAGAAAACTACACTTGACTGCAAATATCTGACAAAGCAATAAGTCTATCTTTGGTTGTTTACGGATATGAAAGCGGCAACGAAAGCGCTGCTAAATGAGTGGATTACAATGTTGCTTGGAGCCAAAAGAGGAGCTTACTGACCAAATTACTGTCCACTTCCACTGAGCTGTGACCCCATCCACCCTATCCCCTAATCCTACAAGAGATGATCTGGCCTCGACACACGCGTTTATTGCACGGGACAACGGGTCCAACGCTTCCGACTGTTGCACAAATGTGAAACGCTCAAATCATGAATTCTCTGTTACGTTCACTAAAGCTGGGGTACCTCACTGTTTCGTTTCAACACATAATAATAAGTGTTTATTCCCAAAAGAAAGAGTCTTGTAAACGTAAAATGGTGTGAACGGATCGGGCCGCACCACATCATGCTGTCTTCATCTTAATAAAAAAAAAAAAAAAAAAAAAAAACATGTTATTTTTAGATTACTTGTAAGAAAAAGCTTTTTGAGTCACACACTTGACTTGCTGGGCTGGGAGCTCATTGACTGAGTGAGTGTGGTCCTCACTTTAGAACTTTTCTGTCTGAAGAGGCTGATCTAAATATGTGACAGAGGCCCAAAAATACATGTGTGTGAAAAGTAGCGATAGAACCAAACTGCTGTAGAGCCAGAAACTTTAGTTACGTGCATTGTATTTGGCCGTTCAATTGTGTGTGCGGTTGGAAAGTTGGGTCCTCCAGGTTTAGTAGAAATACAATTACCAACAGTACAGTTACAAGAACGAACTTGTTTGAACTAAAGCACACTCACAAGAGAACATATGTGAGACTATCAGAAAAGCAATTCTTTCTTAGAGCTTGTTACAGTGTCTAGTGAAGCAGGCAAAGAATGGAGCATCAAGATATCAGGCGTGCGGGCGTCCAGTGACAGGCAGAAAAAAGTGCCATCATTTACGTGTCAACATCAGCCATGTGGGAGGACAAGTTTATTGACATCTTGATGATCATTCTGGACCCATTCTGCTTGCACTCATCGACTGTGGGCTCAACATACATTAGTCTGTCGCGTGGCTGGCCTGCATCTTTCATTTGTCAAGAGGGTGGTCCGGGCTTGGTGCTGACAGCAGAATAAAGATTGGTGAACGTGACCGCCTCCTGAGCTAATGTAGTGAGTCAGTATCCCTGAGAATTCTTAAACATATAGTACAGGATGTTCAATGTGAAGCAGCATTGGGATTTCAAAGTCGGTGCTCATTGTCTATTCAACAAATGAATAAATCAATTATTGTGCGGCTCGCCTCTACGCATGGCTTATTCCGGGAATCTATGAGAGCCTGAACTGGAATAGAAGCAATTGCGTATGTTATTGTCGGTCTAATAATAACATTAAGGTATACCTGTCAATAAATTATGGCTTATTGCTCTTTTGTTGTGTGCGCGCAGCTATAATTTGGAGGCTGTAAATAATGCAGGAGATTGTAAATGAAAATTCACAAAGGCATACTTTATATTGTAGGTACAATAGATGGTAAAATGCCTGGTGGTCAAAAACATGCTATGGATAATTAAATTTGTACATGAATAAATCCTTGTCAATCCTGGTCGAGAAAAAACATGAATTCAGACTGATTAAAACACTTGAATTGAATAACTTTCTGTTCATAAAAGTCCCTATAAATACTAACATCTTGATCTTGCTATACAACTACACACATTTCTTCTCGATCTCAAGTAGTTTGTCAATAAAGAACAGTGAGGATTACGGATGCAAATGTTGCCTCGTCAGCATATGTATTGAGCCTTAGGAGGACTTGGGATGTGAAAAGGATTAGTCTAATTACTGCTATTATATTCTCAATGTAAAGGCTATCACATGCCTTCGCGAACCGTGCTTGAGCTCTTGACAGTTAAATTAAAAATATGCGCTGCTGATTTGACCCTGGATCATTGATCTTTTTCTCTGTGGTCCACACAATTCCCTCATTTCGGAATGGGAGCCTTGAATCTTTACACCTTCAAGTGTCTTTTCATAATGGCCAATGGAGCTACGGAGCTGAGGCATCACAGGGAGATCAAGCCAACCTTGCCTCGGGCCAGACTTTGCACCTGTCCGAACATGTATGTTTGCGAGAAGTGAAAATACATCTCTCTTGCTGTACCTAAAAAAGGCACATGCTTGCAGGGGGTCCTTCGAGTTTTACTGTAGGCAACAGAGAGGGAGAAAAAGCCTGAATTGTATATCTACCAACATTTCCATGACACCAATTTCTTATGATGATTGCTTTGAAGTGTTGTTTACCACTATCACCAAGTCACTCTTTCCCTAGATGGCTGCAAACTGTAACAGAAACCACAACATACCTGTAACATATTCTACATTACAGCTGTGAAACTTGATACTTTATAGGATTTAGATCTGATTTCAACATTGCTGACCTTCCAGAAACACCGTGACATCTTTACGATATACAAGAAAATATTCTGTGAAACCAGACCACGCAATAGTAATTCCAATGTTGAATGGGGAAAAGATTATCACAAGGTCAGTCCAACTAATTGTGAATACCAGTAAACTAATGGAGTAACACAAACCATATAACCAAAATCTAAAATATAGAGCCCAGATGTTTTAAGAAATCATGAAAAGGTAATTTGCTCTTAGCTGTAAATAAAAAAAAGTTACTTGAGGATCAGCAACAAATCTGATCATGCTATTGAAGACACTAGAAAGACATTTTGAACTTGATCTCTACACAGTGGGATTTGAGTTCTTACCATGAGCTGGATCAGGTGGGCCAAACTCCAGATTGTATCTCACGACGTAAAAATTATTCCATACATAGAGCTGGTTATCTCTGGGATTGTAATCCACAGCAGCAATGTACTGATACTGGTTGGGAAAGTGGATGTCCACATATTCCCCGTGGTTCTGCTTGGTGTTGTAAACATAATCAATCAGACTTTTGCTGACTTCGCTCTCGTTGTCTTCGTAGGTCGACCGGACTACGTAGAGTACTCCACAGATCATGAACGCGTTGGAAGCTGACCGTTTGTCGTAGGCCGTGTCCCATGTCGCCTCAAAGCGCAGCGTGTAAGGGTTCAACTGACTTATCACCATCATTCCGTTGTTTTGCTCCGTGGCATAAATGACCCAAAGGCCATTCTCATCCACAGCCAAATCGATGTCCGTCTTGCCTCCCCATTTGTATGGCGACGTGTCATGGTAGTTGGCATTGTTGATGATGGCTTCTCCGCTTTTGATTCGAGTCCGCAGGTCAAACTTTACAATGTTGCGGGTACGTTCCTTATTGAAAAACACTGCGCCATCGTAGACAACAAATCCTGTTCCGTCTACTCGGTGGGGCAGTTTGTATGTAATAGTTTGCCTCGCATTTTGGAAATCATCCAACGAGGAATACTCTATTAGTGTGTCTGTCCTATATGGAGTCCAAGGCATGAAGTAGATTTTATCGCCGGCTTGTAGTGGGTCTTTGCACCAGGCGCCGGCTTGTTGCTCCGCTTCGAACAGAAATGAAGGTTCACCAACAGCTTTCAGAGTCCCAGGACAAAGAAAAACTAGTGATGGAAGAAGAGTAAAATAAAAATAACACAGGTTAACATGTGAAAAACAAAACCAATTATAACTTTCATCTGATAGACAATCTTTTTAAACTATGTCCATTTTGTTTAACAGGTCCGTGAGGAGTGGGGGACAGACACACGTTAAAAAAGTGGCCAAAACACAACTAACACTATAGCCAATAATAAAAACGTAAAAACAAGGTGTTTGGCATTGTGCATAGAAAGAAAAGCAGAACTAGAAGTTATTAAGCAAAATGTGGGTGTTTGTGTCAAGACATTACAAAGTCTGAAATAAAAGAAGCCTCATAGACATCTACTGTTAGAAGTAAAAAACAGAAATGACGGAAAAAGCAAAACTAAATAAATACAGAAAAACATTTGGTCCTGTGAACAAAAAAATACTGCAGCCAACTAAGTCACTTGGCAACAAGACGGTTATGAGAAAGCAGGATTCACACAGTCTGCAAAATGTGCGCAGTTCTAGCTGAAACACCACTTGTTTTACTATCAAGTGTGTGCGACTGTAGAGTGATGTCAGTCGAATTTAAAGAACGACTAAAAAGGCAAGTTTGTTGAGGTGGTTTTGGTTGTTGGATACATTCGTCTTGACAGAGAAGAAAGCAGAAAGTGGTAAGGAGTGAACAATGAGGAGAAGAGTGAAGAGATGTGGGCTCAAGGAGGAAAAATAGGGACAGTAGAAAGCAATAGGTACTGAGAAGAACAAGGGCCAAGAATCACTGTAACCATGGCATGCTATGGACGAGGGTTTGGAAGCCAGGCAATATGAACAATTCTGCTGAGTAGCTAAAAAGCACCCAGGGAGAATGAGAAAAGGGAGCCCCTGTGGACCACAGCCAACATGCTCCATTTACATTTTTGGCTGCTTCTGTGTTGTCTTTACAATGACCAGACTCACTTCCCTTGATGCACTACAAAAGACGTTTTAGCATTACAGTCGGGGCCAATCTGGAGATAGGTCTGTGATGTGCTGTATAGGGGCCACCATAGGAAAAATAGGTAGTTTACAACCAGATGTCACAAAACAAGGAGCTAGGGTTCGGATCGTGTCTGTTATTTACCTTTTTGCTCCACTTCTATTTTAAGCGTTGAAGAGAGAATGAAAGGGTGCAAGGGAAAAAGAAGAGATTAATATGAATTAACTGCTAGAGCTATGATAACATATGCAGAACAAGCTCTGAGACATAAACAGAATCCAGGGGACCTATTTTAAAAGATAAGGTATTTGTGAGAAACAAAGCTTTCAGCTGCCAAGGCCGTGTCAAACCAGGCTGTGGTCAATATGATTTAATGAAAGGAGAACAGTGGCGAGGGATGACATCGTTCGAAAAAATAACTATCAATAATGTAATGGCTCTGAAATAGGGCCTCCTTACTGATGTGATAATGTCGTGATTTCCATTAGAAAATAATACTAGACTGGATTAAGTGGTTTCACTTTAATGTAGTTAAGATTATTAGTGATCCAATAAAGTAATTACAAATACAATCTGACTTGTGTTCCCAGAACCTTTCTACAAGTGACACACGTAGCTCCGAGCACATGAATACAGATGCACTCCACCTGCTGGTATTTAGCAAGAAAGGGTAGACAACTACTCAATGTATACATATCTGCTTTCATTTAACATAATGTGTGGTGCAATTATTATTATTATTTTTTTTGTTAAAAATAAATAAATATCCCTCTTTGTTTGGATAATCTGGTTGAAAATCTTAAACAACACTATTATATATTGTGTTTTTGAGTAAGAACAACTACACAGAATTGTTGTACAGATTTTGTACATGTTTTACTTACTTACACATACAACAAAAATTATGTAGATTCAGATTCCCTTTAATGCCTGTTTCTTTTCTTTTTTTCTTTGCATGTTGTAAATGTGCTATACAAATAAACTGACATTGACATTGACACCATGTATATTGAGGACTTGTGAATTAGTTACATCTGTGATAAAAAAAAAAAGTATTATTGAGTTAATATGAACATGCTAATCCACCCGCCACTGTAGGCCTTTCATTGAAGCAGCACCAAAAAGGAATTAATAATTTGTGTTTATATAATGCAATTAGACCACAGGATGCCAAATCTGGCTTGGGTTTCCTATTTTAATTTAGTAAGTTTCTACTTGGCCTTATCAAGAAAACAAGTAATCAGTGTTAATCACTGGACCAAGCTCCAGTCTGAAGCACTTGGCAGTTGAAACATGAATTAATTCAGCAATAGAACTTAATTAGTAATGTTTTTGTATGAAAGGCTTTCATACATTATACAAATCTAACAAGGCACTCATTTAAGTATGCTAAAACTCAGCCAAGCAATTAATAAACACAATCTTACTGTGAATAACTTTTTTACATATCTATATTAACATGTAACAAACTGTAGATCTAGGATTCTTCTCAAAACAGTGTTACATTTATGCAAGGGTTAACCCACACATCATCCTACTTTATTATGGATCTTCATTCATTTGTATATGTTAACTTTTTACAAAACGTGAAAAGGGTTGCTCTGGGATGGGCAAAGATGACTAGAAATTATGACTATGATTTTTATGTGTCTAGAACATACAACGATATAATAAATTGTTGTGTAGTTGATACAACAGTTCATATAAAATCAGACAGGTTTTCACTGGAGTGAAAAGGAAGCTGTTAATTACAATTTCAATTTAAGACTTGAGACCGCATAGTCACTGTGATTTTGAAAGGCCAATTTGTTGCGCTATGGCAGTGTTTATCAACCTTTTGTACCCCGTGTACCCCCTTGTCAGCATAGACCTGTTGTTGAAGGAATCTTAGGGAATCTTACCCCAGGAACTCATATTGGTCAAACTGTTTTACTCTGATATCAAGGTCACCTCCATTTTCTTTGTGTGAAGTATGTTTATAGTTAGTGATTGCTAATTCAAATTCTATAAGTTTACATTATGTAGTAATTTTACGGACAATTCACACAGTAGGCCTTCATAGCATGTAAGCGTGTCACACACCATACAAGCATAACTTTACACGCCCGTGTCACACAACAGCCGAGCGCTAAGGAACGCGGCTGCTGATGCTGTCCCTGTGTAGTCTGTGGAGAAGTGTAGCAAAAGCATCGGCCAGAAAACTAATGTAGAGCAACAAACATTGCATGTATGTGTTCTCATCGTCTCCGTGGGCTGCTTTGGTAAGGCGCAAGACTTTATGAAAGACAGAAAATATGTCAAGAATCTCTGTCAAACCTGCCAGTCCTCCTAATGTTCAGATACAAGTGCTGTGTGTGTGGAGCTGATCTAGAGCCAGGGGCCGCTCGCAAACACATGTGTCCCATATAGGGCGTGCAGCCCTACATGGGACACATGTTTGATAAAAATGCATGTTTTGTCTCTTGCGTTTCAATGCAGATTGCAATTTTAGGAGACAGACAAAAATATCGCAATAATATTGTTATCGCAATAGTAAACACTCATACTGAATATTGCTCTAATTTCCAATATCGTACTGCCCTAGTCCCATGTGTTTTGACTGGGAGCCTCGTCACAGTGCAAGCAAAATTAGAAATCCATTCTAACCTACAGTAGGTCCCATTCCGTTTTGTCGTCTTCATTCACGCTTCTCGGGAATCACGCAGCTGCGTGAAAAATAGTACATCTTATCGCCACAAGGTGGCAGGCTAAGTCCACTTTAGCTCTGCCAGTGACTTAGACGCTCAGGTATAAGACTGCGTGCAAACCTGTCTAGCCCAGAGGTGCTATGTTGGCCCAATGGTTAGCATCAAAGACTGGGACCTGGAGAAACCAGGTTCGATTCTTGTCTGAGGCACATCTTTTGGTTGCTTGTGGCAAAATTGTTTTTTCATTAAACAATTATTATATAACATCTTGTCTTTAATGTCTGAAAAAATCTAGGTGAAATTCACTAGAATTTATTTAATATACATTAAATATTGTGATATGTTTTGATAAACCGAACGTTACGTTACATCCTCCGCTCAGTGAACGCACTGCCGTCTGGGCTCCGAGCGCGGACCATAGACACGCGGACTCACGTCTCTCTCTCTCTCTCGCGTCTCTCTCTCTGCTCGCGTCTCTCTCTCTCTGCTCGCGTCTCTCTCTCTCTGCTCGCGTCTCTCTCTCTGCTCGTCTCTCTCTCTCTGCTCGCGTCTCTCTCTCTGCTCGCGTCCCTCTCTCTCTGCTCCGTCTCTCTCTCTGCTCACGTCTCTCTCTCTCTCGTGTCTCTCTCTCTCTGCTCGTCTCTCTCTCTCTGCTCACGTCTCTCTCTCTGCTCGTGTCCCTCTCTCTCTGCTCACGTCTCTCTCTCTCTGCTCACGTCTCTCTCTCTGCTCGTGTCCCTCTCTCTCTGCTCACGTCTCTCTCTCTCTGCTCACGTCTCTCTCTCTCTGCTCACGTCTCTCTCTCTGCTCGTGTCCCTCTCTCTCTGCTCACGTCTCTCTCTCTCTGCTCGCATCTCTCTCTCTCTGCTCACCTCTCTCTCTCTCTCTCTGCTCACGTCTCTCTCTCTCTGCTCACGTCTCTCTCTGCTCGCGTCTCTCTCTCTGCTCACCTCTCTCTCTCTCTCTCTGCTCGCGTCTCTCTCTCTCTGCTCACGTCTCTCTCTCTCTCTGCTCACGTCTCTCTCTGCTCACGTCTCTCTCTCTCTGCTCACGTCTCTCTCTGCTCACGTCTCTCTCTCTCTGCTCACGTCTCTCTCTGCTCGCGTCTCTCTCTCTCTGCTCACGTCTCTCTCTGCTCTCTCTCTCTGCTCACGTCTCTCTCTCTCTGCTCACGTCTCTCTCTCTGCTCACGTCTCTCTCTGCTCTCTCTCTCTGCTCACGTCTCTCTCTCTCTGCTCACGTCTCTCTCTGCTCACGTCTCTCTCTCTCTGCTCACGTCTCTCTCTGCTCGCGTCTCTCTCTCTCTGCTCACGTCTCTCTCTGCTCTCTCTCTCTGCTCACGTCTCTCTCTCTCTGCTCACGTCTCTCTCTG